CGTTTTTTATCTCTTTGTTGAAGTTCTCTACACTTCCCAAAAGTTCATTGAGCATCTTTATAACCAGTGTTTTGAACTCTGCATCTGTTAAATTACTTGACTCCATTATATCTAGATCTCTGTTCTGTTCTGTCATATGGTTTCTGCTTCTTTGTCTTCCCCTTTTGGCTGCCTTTCTGTGTCTATTTCTATGTACGAAGCAAAGCTCCTAAGTCTCCTGGTCTTATTAGTGTGGATTTGTGAAGTAGGTGTCCAGTGGCACAGTCCTGACACGGGTTAAACTGCAGGCCAAATTTAGCTCAAGCCTCTACCCCTCCAGGGCCCCCTGTTAAAATTCAGCAAGCAATCCACAGATGCTCTGCTTATAGTTGCCTCAAAAGGCCACACCAGAAACCGAGGTCAGCTGCCTCTACCAGTGTGAGTCTCAGCAGGGAGCGCCTGAATCGCTGAGGAAACACCTGGATGTGGCTTGGGTGGGGCTCAAATTGGAGTAGGCTTGTTTTCAGGGAATCTTCTGGGCGGAGTGTCCTGTTATCCAGTTTGATGACGTCACAGCTATGATGGCCCTGCGTTCTGTGTACTACTGGGGGGAGGGCTCAACAGAGAACAATGAATACCGCCAGCACTTCTGTACAGAGATAGTCTCGCCTAGGTCTTCATTCCGACAAAGTCTCCCTGTAAGTCCCTGGTGCCCCCTGTGCACAGCCTAATCAGCACTAGTGCTCAGAGCGAGCAGGTCTGTCACCAGGAAAATCCACTCGCGGACGTGGCCCCTTTAAGAGGCATCTGCTGCTGCCGCAGCCTCCGTCTCTCTCAGCCACTGGGGATCAGGCAGCCCCATGTCCTCATCCCATCCTACCTTCTGCCTATTGCAGGGTAATTTCTTGGATTTCTCCATAGTTGTATGGATTGTTCATCTTGATCCCAGGCAATTTTTCCTTGCTGCTGCTCCTTGTTTTCGTCACAACTTTGATTTGGTCACCAGAGAGATGAACAGAGCCTCTATCGTCTACACCATTTTTTCTCTATGTCTCAGAGTTTTTAAGGAAGAAAAGCTGATACCTAAACAGTAAATGTCACTTGGTAGAAAGTAAAAAATTCTATGTGGCTATTATAATAAAGTATTTTAGTTATTCACAATGGGAAATGTAGCATACCTCATTAGAAACGTAGTAGATACTGTTGCTTGCCTATTTCTTGCTCTTCCTTCTTTACAGAAGCCTGCACAGTTGTTCATCCAGTAGGGAAGATGACCCTATTACCATCTCAGAGGTACAATCTTAAACCTATCATGGGGAAAGGGTATAAGATCCTCTTGACTGGCTGTTGAGAGATTAGAAGTGGGGATGTGACCAGTTCTAGCCAGTGAGATCTGAGGAGAGGTCTGGTGAAGGCCTTCTGGAAAAGACTTCCTTGCTCTTAAAGACATACAGGGAAACATGTCACTGTTTCCACTGGATGTTGTTGCATTTGGCTGTGTTATCTGAGACTGGATTAGCCATCTTAGAACCATCAGGGGATCCAGCCTTAGGACAAAGCCAACACTGATGATGGCAGAGTAAAGAGATAGAATGAACCTAGGTCTGTGATGTTCTTGTTGAGTCAGTAAGTCAATCAGCCCTGATCTGTCCTACTTCTGGACTTCTTGTTATAGGAGATAATAAATATCCTCATTGTTGAGTCAATTCGAGATGGAGTTTTCTGTTACTTGTAGCTGAAAGCATCCTAAGTGCTACAGATGAAATGTAAAAGTTCTTCGGATGGACCGAAGGACTACTTCCCAGAGTTGATAAAAACAAGAATCACAACACACAGGCAAAAGATGGGGTTATCATCACGTAATAAAGGTATGGGTTTTAACATTCAACAGACCTAGGTTTTGACCCAAATACTTACTGCCCACTGGACTGTGACCAAGTTTCTTTAACTTCTCTAAGCCTCATTTTCTTCATCTCTAGACTGGATATTATACTTACCATACAGGGTTGTTATGCAGATTAAATTAGATAATTTGTGTCAGGTATGCTACTAAGGATATGGTGCCTAGTAAGTATTGGTAACTATATTGATGAAGCATGAATTAAGTGTAATTAGCAGCAAGCACTTTTAAATGAATCACTGTATAATAGTGATTATGTAAAATGACATTGCAGCAATGCCATCAACAAAATCCAGAATGTGGGTGACTCTACAAGACAAACAGCCCATTTCTTCAATAAATAAATTGCAAGAAAAATAAAAGGAGAGTTTATAGATACACAGAAACATGAGACAACCAAATACAATATGTAGATCTTGATTTGAACGAAGTAGCTGTTTAAAAAATCACATTTATGGGACAATTGAGGTAAATGTGTACACAGGATACTTGATTATATTAAGGTATTATTTTAGATTTTTTTGGATATGGTAGTGATATCGTTGTATTTTTTTAAAAGAGTTCTTTTGGAGAGATACAACTGAATGTTACTAAAAAAATACTGAATCTTTATGGAAGAAATAATATCTGGGGTTTGCTTTTAAAATAATCCATTGTGAGAATGGTGGTAGGGCGGTAGGGTAGGAGTATAGATAAAACAAGATTGGTCATGAGTTAATAGTGGTTGAAACTGAGTGATGGAGCTTTATTAAACCATTTCT